ACCCCGAGCCATTGAATACCCTAGATTTTTGGTACAGAGCCATCAGTTTCTGCGGGAGACTCGTTCACCTTCCCCCATTTGTTTCCCTCCTGCTTCTCCTTCAATTAATCATACAATTTCCGGAATGCATACTCATCATGTTTCTTCTGCGAATGACAAAAACCTCCTCATACCATCCCGGCGTTCCGCACGACTGTAATCTCTGCCCATACGGCGCGCAGCCCCAAAAGTCGATCAAGACTGGCATGCCATCTCTCATCATGATATTCTGAGGATTCAAGTCGTTGTGGGCCAGTCCGATCGAGTGCAGGTAATAGATGGCCGACTGAACACCAGATAGAAACTTGTCATGGTTAAGTGGCTCAAACCCATCGGGAGCGTTGAAGTCATTGAGGTGGTCAGGCGCGATTTTGAGCTTGACGTCGCCTGGGACTTGGGGGAAAACCACTTCGTCTCCGATTCGCTGCAGGAGCTGGGTGAACTCATCAAATGTGGGTCTCTCTTGTTTCTCGTGGTCTTGCCGTAATGTACACTTTCATCAGCGGTGACATGGTAGAACATGCAGGATTTTGCTATGCCAGTGACTGGATCACAACCGGACTCGATGATGGTGAGGTCGCGGTAGGATGTGATGGTGGGAATGGGATGCCCCTCATCCGCTGTTGCGGTGCCATTGTTGGACTCCACGACTGTCTTGTCAATGGAAGACATGGTGGATTGATCTTCTTGAATGGAACGTTCAGTTTTGTGATGTGCGAGATGGAGTCCAGAGACAAACGGACAGTGCTGTTGATGACGAGAGACGAGGTTGGTGCACAAAACATGCAGTCGCACAGCCAAATAATTATTGGGTGGCTAAAATCCCACTGTAACCTATGCCAACAGCGCATAGGAGCTTTTTCGTGTCCAAGTCAAGAGCGATGTCACAGAATGTGGTCGACGTTGAGGACAGTCGACTGTATCTCCGAAGAGAATGCTACAATGAAGTATTGGCAAGCAATTCGACATCAACCCTCTCGTTTCCACCCCCTAGCTGAAATCTACACCGCATTCATCAAAGCTCCATCATCTTATCCAAATACTAGCGCGTCTGTGAAAACCAGTTGTGAAGGCCCCTTTTAGCAGGGGCCTCAGCCTCAGGTTCCAACGAGCGCTGAAGATTCGCCCTGTTTATCCCCACAACCTCCACATTGGCCGAGTGAATCAAGTCCTTAAGCAGCTCATCAAACTTTCTGTCTGACCTCTTATTGAAGCTCGTTACCTCCTTCTTCGACACAATAAGCACTCTCTAACAGCTCCCATAAGTCTAATAGCCTGGTTTAAAGCCCTGGTCATGCACAAATCCAATCAGTTTATCCAATTGTACTCTATCAAAGTCCAATTCCTTGACGGTTTCGGCAACGTTTAGTCGGCGTGCGAAGGCATCCCAGAACTCGGCAAGCTGCATGGAATGGCGGCTCGGATGGGGCGGAGGAATTCGAGAAATGCCGAGTTGAAGAGGCCCTCGTCGCGGATGAAGTAGTTGTACTCGTTAAGTAAGTAAGTTAAGTTAAGTAAAGCCTATTTTTGGTTAAGCCAAATTAAGCCTTCCTATTAGTTTAACTTGTAAATTCGGTAAGCTCTACTATTTTTAACCTTTTATAAAAAGGCGTAATACCGTAGGTATAATAGTAAAGGTATTACTATTAACCCTACTGTTAAATGTACTAGCATTAATTATCCAGCTTTACCTAAAGTAAGAATTTTAATTTTTAGTAAGTTAAATTATAGAAATTGTTTTTAGAGTAATGGAATTGTTAAAGGAATTTAAAAATAAAAGTTTAAAATTTCATTTTAATTATCAACAAATTATTTTAACGTACATTATAAGCGAGTGAGCCATATAAGCGAGTGAGCTACTTTTTCGACGCGGCGCGACCCTCCACCTACAATATACCACTCGACAACAACTAACTATGCCTGCCACCTAATACGAAGCTAGGGTAAACTTAGCCCTTAAAGCTCTTCAAAATGACGAAAATCTAAGTGTACGGGCCGCTGCTAAGATCTTCAATATTGATCGTACAACTCTTTCGCGGCGGCGCGCTGGCAAGCTGCACGGCGCGACACTACGCCTAATTCGAAGAAGCTTACTCAATTAGAAGAGGATACTATTATTTAATAGATTATTAAGCTATATACGCGAGCTTTTTTTACTAAGATTGCGTAGTGTAAAAAATACAGTTAACCAACTACTATACGTACGCGACGCGCCTCCTATTAGTAAGCTCTAAGCATATAACTTTGTTAAATGCTAACTATAGCTCTATACGCGTTTTACGCGTAAATATAACTATTAAAGAGCTAAGTGCGAGGATCTAAAGGTTATAGCCGAGTAGTTTACGCTCGTACGGCACACTAAAGCTAAATAGAGTATTATAAATAACGATATCTATGACTTCCACGAAATTAACTTTATAATAAATATTTATTTTCATAGGTATAGTAATTACGACTTCGGACGGCCTTAGTAAAGTAAAACTAGCTTAGTTTAATAATTACGAATAAATAACGGTAATTTAAAAAGTTAATACTTTCGGTTAACCTATCTTTCTTTTTATTATTTTAGCCGTATAATATTACTTTATTAATCAGTATGCCGAATATAACTTACCGTTTATATAGCGTATTATAATTACCGATAATAATTTATCTATTAAAATAATAGGCTTAAATGAGTTAAATATTTCGATTATTATTAGTTTAGAGTACGGCCACAGGCCTAAGAGTATGAGTAAGCAAGCGGGGCTCTCAGAGGCCTCAGGGGTTCAGTGGGGCTATGTATATAAGCGGTCTGCTTCGGACATTCTATTTTAGACAAGACATCGACTTTTATTTTCTTCGTATTTCGTGCCTTGCACGCGTGCAGGCAATCTGTTACGGACCTGACATAAGTGGGGAGCGCGGGGCGCGACCGTCCAACCACTGGAACGGAAAAGTGGGGAAGTCGGATTATCACTAGTGCCAAGGGTGATAATCACGATTATCACCAGCCTTCGATGAACGACGAGTGATAATCGACATTATCACTGGTGATAATGGTGATAAACCGGTCTATATATACGGAGGAACTGGCTGGTGTAGATAGACAGTTCCGCAGTATGCAATTCAGCTTGTATTCACAGTATCTAGTGTTTACATTGAGACATCTTGTTGTGCACTGTTTAGCTGCACCGAACCAGGATTATTCAGAAGTTACCTTCAACCAGTATCCCTTTCAGAGGTTCTGGATAGGGGTTCGTCACACAATCCTGGCCCTCTGATCAGGCCAATCCGGTGCTTATTATGTGGCCTGCGAGCCCATAGTGTCTTTTCTTTGTCCTACGTGAAGTGCGGCCTGCGAGCGAGCCACTGTCACGCAGGTGTGTTCATTTTGAGACCTGTTGAGGGTACATTTGTGGTGTTGTGGTTGTTTTGTGTGTTTTCTCGCCATTTCATTATATATCGTTCCGTATAAAAGGTAAATACCGGTTATTAATCCTCCACGGTTACGAGAGCTATCATTCGACCAAATTCGAGTATTATTATTAGTAAAATAATATTATTATACTCTATATACCTGTATATTCCTTCTACTACCTTTAGCTACTTAATATCGGCTACTTGGGATTACTAAAGTAAGCGTACGGTCGCTAAATCGAGGACTTAATATATATATATATTAACTATATTAGTAAGCTCGAATATCTTTATACCTTCCGAAAAGCTTTTTTTACTTTTTTACTTTTATAACAAAGAAAAATATATGGGATAGCTTTATAGATACTAACTTTACGCCGTACGATTTTAATAAAGTATTTTTTAAACTAAATGTAAAGCTTTATACGCTAATACCCCCGCCCTTACGGCCTAATACTTTATGACCTTAGGTATTTTAAATACTATAAAACCCCTAAGAAACTATTTTATAGTTAGTATTTATTAAAATCTATTTTACTAATTATTAAAATAATTTCCTGACTTTAATATTAATTATAGTAGACTAGCTTACTAAAAATATAACGGCTATAATATACTCAATAACTATTTCCTAACTTCCTTAATAATTGGCTAAGGGCGTCCTGCGCCCCGTATACGGCGCGGCTTAATGTTGGGTTAACTGTAACATAGTTTCGTAATATATAATTTAAATTATAATAATTAGTATTTAAACTATTATAATTAAGATAAGCTATTTATTATATACTATCTAGCTATACCGAACTAGGATTATTTAGAATTGCTTTTAATTGGTATCCCTTTTAGAGGTTTTGGATACAGGTTTATTACATCACTTTAGTTTTCAAAAACTTTAATTATTATTAAAAGTCGTTTATAAAATTAAACATTACTCAAAGATTTCTACAGAACCTATTAAAAGTCGGATTTCTCTAAATTCTATAATATAACTTTAAATTTATTACTAATTATTTAAATATTAATTAACTATGAAAGGTTATTTAACGTAGTTAAATTGATAAATAATTATTAAATTATAAATTAAATAAATAAACTGTTAATAAAATAAGTGGTGTAAAGTAATATGTAAAGGCCGATATTTATAACTATAGTAAGCAATATTATTGACGCCGTTTCACAAGGTGTAGTGTGGCAAGGTATGGTGAAAGGTAATGAATATTAGAGGGAATTCCCGGAAGTGTAGAAATTCCTTTAACTACTGCTCTCTGGCTAGTGCGCGCGTGGCCCCACTTGCAGGAGCAGGCAGGGTGGACTCCACTAAGAAGGCGGTGAGGCATGGTAGAATCTTTATCTAATCTATTAGATAAATCAACGAACCCAAGTTACGGCACTAGTTATAATTTAAATATAAATAATTAAGTAAGGATATATTCACTTTTTTAAAAATTGGGCTGAAAAAGTATTTCGGGTCTTATTAAGCACCACTTACAAGTTAAATTTGTAAGGGTATTAAGTAAGTAAAAAGTAAGGTTAGTTAAGTTAAGCTAAGGAAGACCCCAGACTTAGCTTGGCTTGACTTATTGCCACCCTGGGATATCTATTCAGGAGATCGTCTTTGGAGATGTATCGATGGCGCGCGCGGTCGAGGTCAGTGTTGAACCGTTGAGGGGTTAGTTCTCCTTTTTTTTTTTTCGCTGAGATTCATGGGCACGCTGTTGAGGCAAGAGTTGGCAGATCCGTGAGGTGTTGGAAAAGTTGGCAGAAGAAGTACATCACATGAATGATTTCACTTCACCAACCAAATAGCGTCAACGGCGTTTGCGCTGATGATACCAGGGGCTTGATAGGATGCCCGATATCAACCCCTCCCATTGCCGCGGTTTGTCACACAAACAGGTCTCTGTCAAGCGTTTATTCAGTAATATCACACTAGTGAACGATTGGGTTATGTACAAGTCAGGCCGTTCCGGGCGCAGTCTGACATGCAATCAAGTCATTCTTCAGTGTAACTTAAAACCCAAAGATACAACCAGAGATAAAAAAAGGAGCAAGATATTGTAGGCTGAGTTTGAAGCGTCGTGGTGATCTGGTAAGAGCCTCGCCTCATTGATGTCTCCATATTTGCTGCCTAAAGAAAACAAGACAGACCCAATGAGGGAAAGTCGCGGCTAGACAGGGCTATCGTTTTGCTTGGGCCTGTTTTCCAGTCAGCATCCAATCTAAAGACCCATAGCAATATGCTCTTGTTGAAGAACTTACTTGGTTGCCTTTTCATTGGTTCGATCGACCTTGTACTCGAGTCTCTGCATGACTCCTGACTCGGGCTCGCTCACTCTATCGTCATTTCCCACAGGAGAGGATATCTGCGTAGTGGTGGTGGCTGCTCCAGTCCATCCCTGCTTGGGCACCAGATTAGGGACCGAAGTGTGGCCAGTCTCCACCTCCAGCTCAGGCCTCACTCGAGATGCCGTGTGGACTGTGTTCGAGGTAGTCCCAGTAGCTCCACTGGTAGTTTGAGTGAAGTCGGTGTCTTTTGTGAAGAAGATTGGGTCAGGTCGGGTCGGTGGTCTTCCGCCCCTCGCCATGCGTCTTCGGACACGCTCAATCATGCTTGCCGTCGGAGCTGGCTTTTCTGCTTGCCGGGGCTTGGAGCGAACGAAAAGTTGAGGGAAGGAGGAAAGACAGGCGATCAACAAATTGATATAGGCTTCCACCGACCACCAGAAGATGAAGGCTACAGGGTCGATAGCGCCCTGATTGAAGCGAGTCGTGTAAAGGATGGAGACGCGTACAATGCCCACAATGACGGTGATGATGGTGAGAGAAAACAAGCCAATCAACGCTGCCTTCTTCTTCCGCCGGATTTTGAGATTCCAGACCATGGTGACAGGAATGGCCAGAATCATGAAATCAGTTATGATGCTGAAGGCTGTGAGAATGGTCGAGATGATGAGGGATTCAGTGACGAACCAACCGCTGTTGCAGTGGTCATTTTGATATATAAAGTCGTTCATGTAACACTTGTACTGAATAATCGTCATGGAGAGGATGAAGACGATTGCGCAAGCGACTACGCAGCTCCACCAGTATATTCGCTGTCGCCTCGTTTCAGAATTACCGTAGAGTCGCTTGAAGAAGAGCAGGAGGGCGAGCTTGACAATGAAGATGCAGATGAAGACGAGCAGCTGCATGGCCAGCATGCAATCCATCCACTGTCTGATATCCTTGAGCGGAGGCGGGAGTGGCTGCTTCCCAGATCCCCACCAAACGATGGCATACATATTCCACCACTGTGTTGCCCACACCACCGAGTTTACAAAGATTATAAGCCAAGCAAAAATAACCAGGATGTCGTCCCAGAAGAGCTTGCGGAACGTCCTCCATCGTGTTGCGAGCCGGACGCTCAGGGTGATCAAGTTGACTCCCGTCAGAGTCCAGACGACGCCGTGGAAGGCCTGCCAGGGGATGAGAGCCTCCCCGTAGCCACCCTTGGATACAGCGGCTTCAGACATGGTGACAAGACGGCGAGATTGAGACGGTGATACGGAATGGCGTGGTGCAAGATCCTGAACAGGTTGAGGGCATGGTGCCTGTTCTGTTCGCTCCACAGAAGCATCGTCTTGGCTATAAGCAGGGGATCCGTCACAAAGAAGCGACACTTGAAATGCCACCCCAAGTTCTAGATGCTCACCTTCGGGGATAGCAAGCTTCCATCGGTGGGGTAGGCTTGATACAAAGAGACTCGTCAGGAGCTCATCAATCTCACTGGTCCGGAATGGCAAGACCGACCAATCCCGTGCAAGATCATCGCAGCTGACTGGCATTAAAGTGTCAAAGGTCTTTGTCCATGGTGAAGATCGCTCAGCAAGCTTCTGGACGCAAGCAAGACTCAACAACGACGTCTGATGATCTCCTCTCGAGGACGAAAGCCAAGCAGCAGCATCATTCTGCAAACCGCCCTACTCTTATCTACAAAGTATACGTGGCTTGAGAACCAGCCTCGCTAGATTACAGGTAGCTCAATGAAACATATGTTGTGATATTCCAAGAAATATTCAACAACAACAGAACTATAAGAGGCTATTGCAAACCGGAAAGTTTTCAGATATGATCAAGCTCCATACATAGCTGTAGCGGCAAGGGAGCGGGAACTTTCTCCGACGTGGTGGCAAAGGCACGCTATTCTTTGTTAAAGGCCGGGCGGGACATTGCCCGATCACGACAACTACCCCGCCTAACCGAAGCTATTGAAGCTGTTCAACAACGGGACTTTATCACCATGCCGAGGGAAGACAACAACCTGAACCCGTCCCTGGACGGCTCAGATGCATCGGTTTTTACACCACATAGAAACAACTTCCGGGTCGCCTAGCGTTAACGTGCGCGATGAGGGGCAGGTTGATCTGCCGTAGCATTGCCAGTGATTGGCGCGCTTGCAAGAGGTGAATGAAGTCCCACGACTGGCGGAGAAATATTCTAGGGCTCGCAAGTTCCCATAAAAACCAAAGGGCATAAGACCACGGAGAATTTGAATGGCAATGTCAACTGATATCTTTGAGTGTCTCTCAGGGGCTACCTCGCGGAGTCGTCTGGTCCGGCCTACGTGAGTGCTAGGTGCGCGGCAGTGCACTAACAATTACCTAGCCGCCCGGCTAGCTCAATCGGTAGAGCGTGAGACTCTTATGGAGTACTCCGAAATCTCAAGGTTGTGGGTTCGACCCCCACGTCGGGCTCAATTCCCGTCAATGACGATCTTTTTTTCCACTCTGTATCCTCCGTCCTCTTTTTGGGGTTGATCCATCTTGGAGATACTTAAACACCCCCTGAACCATCCATTAAGAACCAAGATGTCTCGTCCACCACCACGTCCCTCCAAACCATCACAATGTTCCTCCACACGCTCACCACCACCCTCTCCCTCCTCCTCCTTCCCCGTCTAGGCCTCTCCCAAACAACCCTCACCAACCCCGTCATCTGGCAAGACCACCCCGACCTCGACGTCTTCCGCATCGGCCACACATTCTACTACTCCTCCTCCACCTTTGCGTACTCCCCCGGCGCCCCCCTGCTCCGCTCCTTTGACCTCGCCAACTGGGAAGCAGTCACCCACTCAGTCCCCTACCTCAACTTTTCCCCCGCCAACGCCTACAATTTGACCTCGGGCTCAAGAGCCTACGTAAAAGGCATCTGGGCCAGCACCCTCCGCTATCGCCCCTCAACCGACACCTTCTACTGGCTCGGCTGCATCGACGGATCCAAAACCCACATCTGGACCAGCCCGGGCGGCAACGCGCGCCAAAACGGGGGGGAGGTCCCCCCCCAAGCGTGGAACTGGTCCCCCCGGCCGGTGATTAGCAACTGCTACTACGACGCGGGGTTGTTTTTTGACGACAAAGACGACTCACAAGCTTACGTCGTTTATGGAAACACCCAGATTAGGATGGCGCAGTTGGTGGTGGACCAGAATGGGGATTTGAAAGAGGTGAGGAATCAGGTTGTTTATACTAGTGGTGATATGACGCTGGAAGGGGCGAGGTTGTATAAGCGGAACGGGGAGTACCTATGTTTGGGTTACCAGACCGGCGGATGCGCAGTTTGTACTTAGGGGGAAGAGTCCGTGGGGGCCGTTCGAGAGACGGGTGTTGGTTGATAGGATTGGGGGGCCTTTGTCGAGTGCGGGCTTTGCGCATCAGGGGGGGATTGTGGATACGCAGGATGGGAGGTGGTTTTATTTGGGTTTTTTGGATGCTTATCCCGGAGGGAGGATTCCTGTTGCCGCGCCGTTGACGTGGGGGGGTGATGGGTGGCCGAGTGTGGTTAGGGATGGGGGGAATGGATGGGGGAGGACGTATCCTTTGCCTGTGAACACGACTAGAAAGGTGAATGTGTTGGGGCCGAGGGTTGATGAGTTTAAGGGGGGGAAGTTGGGACCAGAGTGGGAATGGAATCATAATCCTGATAATGGGAAGTGGTCGTTGAGTGATGGCCTGGTTTTGAAGACGGCGACGGTGACGGGGGATTTGTTTGCCGCGAGGAACACGCTTACACATCGGATTGTTGGGCCGAAGTCGAGGGGTACTTTTAGGATTGATGTTGGAGCTATGAGGGATGGCGATCGAGCTGGCGCTGTGCTCTTCCGGGACAAGGCTGCCTACATTGGCATTCACAAGACCGGAAACACTGCGTCGATCGTCATGGTTGACAACTTGAACTTGGTTGAGGGTTCATGGACAACAAGTTCTACCGGTCGAGTGGCGGCGACTGGGCCGTCTGTCACCGGAGAGATCTGGCTCCGAATTCAAGCCGATATCACGCCCGCCTTCGGGACGAACACTGGACGGCAAGTCATCTTCTCTTACAGCACCGATGGCAGGACTTTCACGAATCTTGGACCCGCCTTCGCCATGAGCAACTCTTGGCGATACTTTACTGGGTATAGATATGGCGTTTTCAACTTTGCGACCAAGGCACTGGGAGGCGAGGTGAAGGTCAAGAGTTTTGCGATGGAGATGGTGTAACTCTATGTCCAGCAGTGATGGAACACCATGGTGTTATTGTTTAAGAGAAGTGCAAGGCTTGGCATAGTTACAATCGAATCAAAGAACTCTCAGGGTGGCTCCACCGAGCGATGACAAAGAATATTCCAGAACCGTGCTAGTGGGGCCACCTTTTTTCTTCTGGAAGATAGCAAAACCGATCTTACAAAGCAAGACTGGAGTCGAAGATTGGGGAAAACTCTTCATTTTCTAGATGTCGATAATGGTGGGTCTGTTTTTTGTCGGCGAAACCTTTTCCCAATTGCCCGTGTAGCTCGATGCTGACAAGAACATCAGCGATATGGCATTGAGTTAAAATTTGTACCTAAGCAAAAGCAATTAAAAAGCATTGTCAGGGATGGGCGTTAGTCATGAGGTGTGATGTGAGCATTGGCGACATCAAAAAAACATGGGCAGACCACTCTCTGCTGACTGTTTGCCATTATGCATGCACTCTAACAACCCAGACACTAACTTTAGAGCTTATTCATCATGCTAATGACCAACAACACTCTAGGGCTCGACCGGGGATTCTCCCAAGAAAAAATGTCTCCACATGGCATCGTGGTATCGTAGCTATGACGTTGAATATCTGCGGGACCCGGACGACAACCGACCAAATTGTGACCCCAGAGGAGGTAGGAGCTTGTTTTGCTTGAACAGATATAAAAGCCCTCTGGCTTGTCTCGACCTAGAACCTGTTCATCCTTTTTACTCTCTCATTCTCAATTCATACCCCACAACCCCCTTTCACCCCCTATCACCTCTCCAATCTCAGCTTTCATACGGTTTATCACCAGTCATCACAATGTCGATCCCCAAGACCCAGAAGCAGTGGCTCATCACCGGAGCCGACAAGGGCCTCGACGGCCTCGTCTACCAAGACGCTCCCGTCCCCACCCCCGGCGACCATGAGGTCCTCGTCCACCTTCTCGGCGCCTCGCTCAACTACCGCGATCTCATCATCCCCAGGGGAATGTATCCCTTCCCGCTCAACCTCCCAGTAGTAGCCTGCTCCGACGGCGCCGGCGAGGTTGTCGCTGTTGGGTCCAAGGTCACAAAGTGGAAGAAGGGCGACAAGGTCCTCACCCTCTTTAACCAGGGCCATCAGAGAGGTGATATGGACATTGCGGCCAGCAAGACCGGTCTTGGCGGCTGCTTCGACGGCACCTTGAGGCAGTATGGTACTTTTGCCGAGACTGGTGTCGCCAAGATGCCCAGCAACTTGAACTACGTCGAGTCTGCTTCGCTTGTCTGTGCTGGTCTTACGAGCTGGAACGCTCTTTATGGTCTGAAGCCGTTGAAGAAGGGCCAGTGGGTTGTCACCCAGGGTACTGGTGGTGTTAGTTTGTTTGCTCTGCAGGTAAGAATTTCTCTTTCAACAAATGAAACATGAGGGCGTGCTAACAGAAAACAGTTTGCCAAGGCTGCTGGCGCGCATGTCATCGCGACGACATCTACCGCCGAGAAGGCCGAGATGCTTAAGAAGTTGGGCGCCGACCACGTTATTAACTACAGGGAAGATGTCAACTGGGGTGAGACTGCCCGTAAGTTGACCCCCGGTGGTGAGGGTGTTGAGCATGTTATTGAGGTTGGCGGTGCCGACACTTTCACCCAGAGCTTGAGCGCTGTTAAGATGGAGGGTGTCATCTCCGTCATTGGATTCCTCGGCGGTGCGGCTCCCAAGGACAACATTCTCGAGACCCTTTCTCGTGTCTGCACTGTCCGTGGTGTATACGTCGGCTCTCGCGAGCAGCTTGAGGCCATGTGTGCCGAGATTGAGAAGCACGACATCCACCCTGTCATGGACAAGACAGTCTTTACTCTCGAAAAGGCGAAGGAGGCTTATGAGTACATGTGGGCCAAGAAGCACACTGGCAAGATTCCCATCACGATTGAGTAACGGGGTCAAAAGGGGGATTTGTGCAACCTTGTATATAAGAACCTAATGATGAGATCTGCTTAACGATGAGAACTGTCACAGTCATTATCACCCGTGTGTATAGTGGGACCGACCGGGCCAGTCACGCAGGATGTGCCGACCCGAGCTTGAGCGTCCGATGCCGTGGTAAATTGGACTCTATGGGTAACCCATGCCGCATTTTCCTTCATGTTACCTGCCGAGCTTGACTGAGTGCCGGCCGCGCTTGTTCTGACTGGCGCCAGCTTATGCAAGGTGTCAACCGAGTGTTGACGAACCAGCATATAAGACTGATAGAATAGCAAATGCAACATTAGATAAGCGGCCAAAAAACACCAGTTCCATGGAGATAAACCTCATGAGCTCTACATTTGTCCTACCACCCCGCTCCTGAGGCGTGGTCTAGAGACAATAGGCACTGTCGTGACACCCACCATCAGAACTGAAATGCCGGCTAAGAGCTCAATCCCACGTTGTGGCTGCCAAGAGACCCTGTCAATGCTGCTGACTGCAGATGTACCGTAGAAATTAATCCCGGTATCAGCATTGGCTGCCGGGTAGCGAGTGAGCAGGTCCTATCGGATGGACTCCTCATAGGGCCGACAGTACGAATTGCCACACTGAGTGCCCATTATCATACACTATCGAGTTGGAGATGGCTGGGCGGCAAGACCCTCGCAGAACCGAAACTCTCAGTGGCACCCAACCAACGTGGAGGCATCATGAAGAACTTGCATGTGCTTACATGGACTATTGGATGGTGCCCAAGATGCGCGGGCCAACATCCTGGCAGGAGAAAAAGTTGAGATTGCGGCAAGCATAAATAACACAAGCTCCTCGCGGGAATTGTTCAGACAGAGCTTCCACGGCACCTCGTCCCCAATCTTCACACACAGCCACCATGAAGCTCCTCACAGGCTACCTTCTCCTCCAAACTGCCGGCCTAGCCACGGCTCTGCCCCCCAAGCTCGAGGACTTCAAGCAAAAAGCAATCGACTCCGGCGTCGCCCTCAAAGCCCTCAATGGCATCGCCCTCGCCAAAGCCCTCACCAAATTCAGCGGCACATGCACGCCCTCCAAAGTGAAATACCGCCGCGAATGGCGCACCATCTCCAAGCCCGACCGCAGAAAATTCATCGCCGCGGTCAAGTGCATCATGGCCAAACCCAGCACGCTCCCTCCGGAGGAAGTCCCCGGCGCCAAGTCATTATACGATGACATCGTCTGGGCCCATGCGCGAAGAAGCGGTCTCGTTCACAACAGCGTTCGCTCCCCTTCTCCTCCGCCCCCCTTTTTCCCACTTTACTAATCCTCACAGGGAACCTTCCTCCTCTTCCACCGCTACTACCTCCACACCTACGAAACGGAACTCTCCGCCTGCGGCTGGACCGCAGGGCTCCCCTACTGGGAATGGGGCCTCGACATAACCGGGCCCCATCTCTCCCCCATCTTTGACGGTTCCGACACATCGTTAGGTGGTGACGGCGAGTTCATCCCTAACCGCCCCCCTTTTTCAATCCCTTGGATCGACCCCCTCACACCGGAAATCATCATCCCACCCGGGACGGGAGGTGGATGCGTCAAGACAGGTCCGTTTGTCCATCATAAAGTCAGACTTGGGCCGTTCAACATGACAGAGACGTTCCCTGTCGAGCCGGAGGATGGGAGGGGGGATAATGAGAGGTGTTTGATTAGGGATTTGAACAAGGGGGGGATTGAGAGGTGGGCGAGTTTTAGGAATAGTACTGAGTTGATTTTGGGGAGTGGAGATATCTTTGAGTTTCACGTCAATGCTGTGAGTGCTTCTGACTGGATTGAAAGGTACCGGGAAGGGGGAGTGCTGCTGACATGCCGGGTGATATAGGAAGGGGATCCGAGATGGGTACCGACCAAGCCGATGGGTGTTCATGGTGGTGGGCATTCGTCGATTGGTGGGGTGGGCGGGCATGCTGCTGATCCGGTTATTTCGCCGTATGATCCTGCTTTTTGGTTGACGCATGGGCAGTTGGATAGGGTTTATTGGATTTGGCAGATGTTGGATTTGGAGAGTCGGAGTGTGAGTTCTGCTGAGCGGAGTCGTTTGTTGTGTGATATGAAAACTGACTTGGCTTCGGACAGGACGTCTTTGGGACTGGCACGTGGCTCAACATCCCGCCTAGTCCTAATGTTACTGTGGAAGACAGCATCGATGTGTTGCCTCATCAGCCGCCGAGGAAGTTGAAGGAGTTGATGAGTACGGTTGCGGGAAGCCCGTTCTGTTTTGTCTATGTGTAAGTGAGACAAGGATGATGGAGTTTACCATTTTCAAGTAGTTAAGGACTGGTATATTTGCTGCACTTCGTAGCAAGACAGTTAGGAAGTGTTGGGTAATTGTGTTGGCTTCGTAGAGAAACACCGCGATCCCACTGTGACTAGATATCAGTCAGATTCATACATGTTCAATTCGGCTTAGTGCTATTCTATCATCCACTCCGTTTTCTTCTTTTTTTTTTTTTGTCTGTGCACGATCGCCGCCCATTTGTCCCCGTTTGCAAGGCGCGTTCTTGACAAACCAAAACACGACGCAACTGGTCGCGACTTCATCGACATCATGCCTCCCCTACTCCGAAAGCGCAAAGCCTCTCTCAATGACGATAACTCAGCATTAGCAGTAGCCAAGCGGGTAGCCTCACCCACAAACCCGGCGGGCACCCAGCAGAGGACGAGGACAACCGACAGCTGGTCGCTGGACAACCCGACTCGGTCGCTACATCACAAGTCACCCAAAGGGACAATCTACCGTTTGCCTCACCAAAACACGGTCCTGATGCTGTTCTTGGCCTCGAAAGAAAATGGAACCCTTGGTGCGACGAAATCCCGAGCAACCTGGCAGACGCGATGGATATGGCTGACTTGTATTCACTCCATTTCCAGGAGCTCGTTGAGGAGGAGCTTGCGAAAAAGATCACGATATTGAATGTGAGTGGTGGCGTGCTGTATCTTCCTTGCTGGACAACCCGCCAATTTGCTCATCAATCACTAATGACATCGCATGGATATACGGGCGCCAAACCCTCGACTCATGATGCTTCTTCGCCAACATATTGGGTCGTTGTCCCTTACCAAAAAATCAGATTGCGCATCCATGCTGCAGCAGCACCTCTCTATGAAACGGTGTCTTCAACAGCTGGTATGTACAATTCGACCCTGAGCCAAGGGCTAGAAAAGTTTACTCCCCATCTGGAGACTCTTTCTGAGCTTCGAGGATGAGCATGTTTACAAAGAAAGCTACGAGTTGGCAATGGTTCTGAAGGGTTACTGGTGGTGTCTCGGGAAGAAGTGGTCCGAAACTGACCGATTGCTGGTGGCTCGGGCTGGGCCGTCCGCTGGTTTGATGAGGTACTGGGAGAAATTATCGGTCGTTGGAGACAATTTGGGGCCCTGCTGGGATGTGGAAGGCGACTTGGACAAAATGACTGCGGAATGGCGAGCGCGATAGGTCTCCTGTTTGGGGGAACACACCTCGGAACCGTGGTTTGACGAGTCACGGCGACTGTTGGGGATCATGTGTGGAGTATTTCCAAGGCTAGAGAGCTCTCCGGAAACAGGCCGCTCGTGCTACAACTGAGATTGTATGTGGGCAATGGCTTGGCAGCTTCGAATGGCTGATGGAAGGGTCCTGGTTCTGAGGTGGCGTTATGTGGGGCTGGTGACCTAAGCAAGTCACTGGCTGCGAAAAGTGAGGCCAAAAATGGCCAGAAAAGTAGACAATTTGGTGATACAGTAATTGGTTGTTGGTTGTTAAGTCTAAAACAAATAGGAAATCCAGCCTTAAAAGTAAACCGGGGTGGGTCTGGTGAAAGCTTGGGCCCTTTGTCTGGTGCCCCACACGTTAGGATCTGCGGAGCGTCGTATCACTTTCTCTTGTTTCCCATTGCTGCTCATCGATACTTAGGGTAATGCCCCCCTAAAGTTTCTCAATTCTTAACTTTGAAGCCCGTGGTGGACCCGTTCGGCCTGTACGACAACCACACCCTGAAACACGCCATGTGGCGATTCATCCCTGGGATCCGTGAGATATCCGAGGCTAGTGAGGAAGGTTGCCTATCGACCTGCGACTCATTGGTGGATGCATACAAGCTGATGATGTACCTGGGCAAATTCCAGTACGTTCCTCATGTGCCGAGCGAAGGTATCGACCAGCACGATAGAAACTATGATGATTTTCCGGCAAGTCTCATCCGACGGAGGATGGAAGCCGGACATCACCTTCGTGACGGGAAGGTCCATGAGTGCTACTCTATTTTGCTGGAGCGATCAAAGGAACGGAAGGTTCGGGGTGATGAGGCGTGTTATGCTGAGCCTTTGTCGTTGTGATGAATTGGGAGTAAGAAGTGAGGTTGAGTAAGCTACCACGTTCGGTAATGTGGAACTTGGAGATCCCAGTTGTATTAGTACATTGATTAATGTCTGTCTGAAGAAGAAAAGTCTGCCCTAAAGAGCGTAAGAATGGCAATTTATATAGACCGAGAGCACCACCAAAAAGACCGTATCCTTCCAAGGCTTTCAAAGGCCTTGCGTAAGCTCTCGTGAGCTTTATAATACTCTATAAGAGCCAGAAAATTGCGCCGAAGCCAGATAAAAGAGCGTAGACCTATTTCTCCGTCTGAGGCTATATTGGTCTACACGTAAGCCACGCTGCTCTTGCAAGCCTGCAGGAGCCAAGGCGGGCCAAGCCATACGCCACACCTTCACAGGTAATCTTCCATGTTAGCTCAAGGAATAAAAGTTGAGTTTGCTACGAGTTGTATGACAGTGGATGGATATATTCTGTGAGCGTCCTGCCAAGACCATGAGCGCTTCCACGTCTCATGTGCCGCCAACCTGCTTGGCATCCAGCTGACCGACAACCAGCCAAGCCCTCAACCCAACAACACATATCTCAACCGGACGTCATTTGACACGGTTCAAAGGAACACGGCAGTAAAATAAAATGGTGAGAGGGCCAGTTGTTGCTTTGGACAACCCCGGTCACGCGTCTTGTGGAACACACATGCACCGACGACGATTGGAACGCCCCTTTCATTCTTGATGGCCCTTCTCGCCGGAAACACAAACCCAACAACGACAGCCCCTCCCAGCCGATGAATATGTCAGATTCAAGGAAGAAGAAACGCGAACCCCGGCCCAGTCCCGAGAATTACCTCGCCAAAGGTATACCGTCAAAGCCATCTTATCAGATCCTGTCAGACTAACCTGTTGACCCTTCAGAACCTGCCCAGTCTTTCAAAGCCCTCACGTACTCTGCTCTAGTACGGGGTCTGCAGCAATTGCAGCTGAGCGGATCATGTCTCGAATTAGCAGCGAGGAGAAGCCCGTAGAGGAGGAGGTAGCTGTTAGTGTTGAGGATGATGGCCGCTGTTCCGAGTCCATCGAAAAGTACGACCATAGTCTTGATGAGTTGTGTACCGAAGTTATCAAAAAGTGTGCAGACTCGGAGACTCCGAGTCAGGCAAACGGCGGCCTAAAGTGCCCGCAAGCGACGCAGGACTTTCGTGAGTGGCAAGAGGACCGTGAGGATCTGGGGATTACGGATTGGCTTCCTGAAAGAAAGGCGTTGGACTTGCTTGCATATCCACCGCCGAAGAGCTGGGGGGCGGCGACTGACCTTGGTGGAAATGGGATTTGTCACGCTGAAGCCAAAAAAAGAAAATGAGGATTTGGTGGCTGATCTGAACTGAGTTTGGCTCGAGTCAGCTTTTTTGTTGGCAGGTGACTGAATTGAACACGGTATCGGGCGGAACACACACCAAGAGAAAGCTTAATACCTACCTGATCAGATGTGCTCACATTTCCCCTCCGCACTGCTCTCTTCTCCTTTTCTGTTCTGCCAGCTACATTCACTGATCGATCCGTAAGACCAAGTCCGCCTCAGGCTACCTCCAAACATGGATCTAGACAGGCCGGCACCGAAGAATACTCCAGTTTCAAGGACCGCGGCAGCTGGTCCAAGCTCTGAACAGACGAAGCGGTTCAAAGATTTTTAGCAAGACAAAAACGAACCGAGGGACATGAAAGACTTGATGGAAGAAAATGCTCTCCTAAAAGCTCAACTTGCTCAGGTTATTGACTTTGTTGACCAGCAGTTTGTTGCAGCGAGTACGCACGACCAAACTTCATGTTTGACTCTCCTTGACCATTTTGAACTGACGTAGTGTATCAGATGCATCTTCTTCTCTTCAAGACCTATTTGTATCCCGCCTCGGTCCTCGAACTTTGGCCGAATCACTGCTCAAAAGCATGGCCACCGTCGCGTCACCACTTTACACCAAGGCGTTTTGGCCTAAAAAGACCGAAATCACCAACGATGACCTGTGCGTCGCCACGTCGAAGCTCATAGAACCAATCCGAAAGATTGCCGATATTAATCATGCGGACTCTCTCAAGCAGGCTCACAGGCTTGTTTTTGAGCTTCGGGCTTGGTAGTTCAACGAGGCCTACGTCTGTCATGATTTATATGGCTCTGCCGACAGAGATGTTCAGCTTGACGAGCTGATAACCGATTTGATTGGGAAAAGAAAGGGAGCCGGACATCGCTGGGCGTGGAAAGCTGAGCTGGAAAGGCTCGAGAAAGAAGCCAAGATGCGGGCTGATAAGGGAACAAAGCGGTGGTTGTTGCAATCAGGCCAGGCGCTGAAAGAGCTTGTGGACCAGGTGGGTCCTGGTGATGAAGATGTCATGCCAGCGAAAAAAACATAGAAAACTACGATCGCACGCATAGCGGTGTCAGTAACGACGACATAGCCAGAGAAACCGCGCGGTTCATCGAGCCCATTCGAGAGATTTCCGCAATTGATCATAAAGACGCCCTTGCTGAGGCGTATGGCTCGGTATTTGAAACGAACCAATGGTGGTATACTGAGGAGGGAGAGAACGAGGACGGTTATACCTCTTAACGTTGCGGTCTTCATCGCGGTCTTCATTGCGAGTGTTGTGTATCAACGCCATGAAGACAAGGGTGGACAAGCTCGAAAAGACTTGCGCAATGGAACCAATGACTGGCGGGATGGAATGGAGAAACGTTCCAAGCTCGTCTAGACACCGGACAGCAGCGGCTAAAGTATCTCGAGAAAAACACACGAGACTAAGCATTACTTAGCTGAAATATAAAACTTACGGGGCAATCAAGGTACCTACCTAAGTCGAAGCAACTGGCTCATACATAGACCCCATCGTCAACAAACATTGCAGATCCCATTTCTATATTTTCTAGGCAAAGCGGTAATCATTCCTCCACCCACCGCCAACAACATTCCTTTCTCGTTCAACAATCTAAGCTTTTCCGCATCATTTACTGCATACCAACGATGGGGAGAAGCCAATACTATCAGCCCTGGTCGCCAGTGCCCACCCTCAGTCTTTCCTCTTGTTTATGGACCAATCCTCCCTACGAAAGGACCTCCAAACCAGAAGTCGGCAGCCAGACGGCTGAGGAGGAAGACTGCGGAAGAATGGATGCACTACAACTACGTCCGAAACGTCCCCTCGTCCATTCGTCGCTTCGTTGGAAAGAGGTAGCACTTTCGTTTGATCTCCCAGATTCATGATATTCTCGGATCTTTTATCATTAAGAACCACCGATTCTGTGGTAAGTTGCTCTGCACCTACATTACGTAGACTCCGTACGGCTGATGTTGATGGTATCCCTCGACAGCTAACCTTGCCTTTCTCAGACCTTCCGCCGCACATTCAGGTTATAATTCGGCCCGAGTGGCGGTACCGACCCAATAGGCGCCAGAGTACCTTGACAGAGATACTGCATGTGAAATCTATAAAATGGCTCACGGTCGGGTTCATTGCTTAGCAACCTACCAATGTCAAAGGCTAGGCGTAACCTGTTTCTTGCGTTCGAGATTTGCACCATTATTGACCCGTCATTTCAGACCTCCATCCAGCTGTTAGATCCATAGTACAACAACCAGGAACGGTCGCTCAAGGCCGCGTCTGATGAGCTGAAAAAGCGCATCGACGACTCCTACCTCCCATATCCCAATCACCGCCGCGCCGACCCCCCTCCTCCGGTTCAGACTCCACATTCTGCAATTTATTGGCCCCATCAGAGCCATCCTCAACATGGACCGCCCCGATGCTGCAAAGGAGGCTTACGGGTGCGTTCGTTTTCTGTGGAACCTCTGGTACGATTTATGCCGGCCCGAGCATGACGATACTGATGACGAACTGGCCTCGGACGAGGAGTGTATGGAGGCTCTTGAAGTTGAACCTGACCCGTCAGCTGTGACCGATGGTGATGACTGGGACTATCATCAGGGATATTCTAGCGGCTGTGGCGCAATGAACGTGAGGATGATCAGCCTGTTGTGAGTGATGGTTACGACAAACAGCCTCCAGACGAGTATTTTGAACGGAGTTAAAGGTCTGATCTCTAAGGTAGGTATCTAGTCTTCGTCGTACCGCTTTCACACTCGTGTAAAAGATAAAGATGATGGGAACCGATAGTAGCATTATATGCGTGCCTGCTTCATGTCTCCACGTATGTCAGCCTTCAACTTCACCCATGCCTCTCTGTCCTGGACGGCGGTTTTCAAACCCGCCGTGCTCCACCGCGGAGAGTCAATATGCATCCTTATGTGCCCGTTCTTGTATGCCGTCCACGCCCGAGCAGCCTGGTCCATGCTCCACAGACGGCGCTGCTCTTCACTGCAATGCCTGTGGCATCAACAGTTAGCGCTCTTCTGGCACTTAATCACGGGGAATAGACCTACCTAGGATACTCCACAAACGCCCTGTCAGCCTCACGCACAACCTGCACCAACTCATCCATTATCTCGCAGAGACCATCTCGGTAGGTGTACAGATTCCCATCCTGCCCGAACCGCGACGGCGTCCCAGACTGGCGGCGGACAAGAGTTTGAAGCGTGACGTAGTTGATGTCCATTCCTCCTTCTGGATTGACAGAGGCCAGTATTTCCTTGGAAAAGGACATAAGATCGTTGACCCGGTCCGTGAACCGTACAAGCGGATTCAGAGCGGGAATCCAGTAGTCGAACGGCACGCTGTGGAACAGACCAGCGATATACGCCGCTGACGCGCCAGATTGCGCCCGAAGCCAGCGCGGGAATCCAGCAGGGCAACAATGGTGAAAGCTGTGCTTGCTGGTGGATGGTGGCCTCAGATGCGGCGGCACGTCCCAAATGCTTCCGTTGAATCGTTTCTCGTTCTCCAGCGAAGAGATATAGTTGAACAGCGCCTCGCCGCCCAAGACCCCTGCGCGTGGATCATTCTCTCCAAAGTGGGCGATGTACTCGCGAACAAGACGGGTGAAGAACCCGAGCCAACCGCTGCGTTCTGTGGCTGCTTCGCTACCCATCAGGATGTCATACACGTAGCGCCCGAACAGGGGTGCTTCTTCATGGCCGGCGAAATCGTCCAGCACAATGCCAGCCACTGACATCCGCGCCAGGTGGGTACGGCTTGTCGAGTCGTGATATGGGTAGAGGTAGTCCGACAAGACAGCGGCAGTGCGTACGGCGGCGTTGACGATCTTGGTTTTGGAGGGATCGTCACCGCAGAGCGGGAGCACGTGGTCGGCACACCATGCGGTTAGGTCGGAATCGAACTGGGAGTCGTGAGTGCGAGAATCTGATGCGTCGAAGCCTAGCTCGTCGAGGCAGTGTGCTGTGAGCACTTCGAGGAGGTGGCGGGCTGTGCCAAGTGCTTCTGGGGAAGCAATCGTGTGCGTCTCGCCTGGGGCAAAGTCGAAGATGGCGAATTCGGGGCGGGAGAGCAGCTGGACGAAGGTAAACTCGGCCATTTTGACTGTCAGGCAAGCCAATTATTTGAAAGTTGATGGATAGGTACAGGTATCCCTTCGGGAGGTAAAATGGGCGGAGTTTAAGAATCATGACTTTTGGACCCCACCCAAGTTCTCCCTCATCCGACCACATTTGACCGCTATCCGAAACGAAGACAAAAATGTTGCATGGCTTCGGAGGGAAGGTGGGCTGCACAGATCGGAGTCGAAGAGTGATGAACTTGAGACCATGAGATGTGAGTGGCTATAGTATCTATCTAGTGTAACCACATCCAAACACTACACCATGCATGTAGTATGCGGGCCGAGCCACATTATCGTCGGATCATTGCATCTCTTCCCGCCCGAGTGCCGAAAGGAGTACGTAACCGATCAGACGTACGATGATACGCCTGGCAGGTAGACTCTCACTTCCCGGTTTGCCTAGCCTGAACCTGGTTGGGTATGCCAACCCCCCGTACCTGTATGAAGCGATGGCGGTGGCCCAGAATGGATTCAATGGAAACCGCAAGGTAAGGCACCTATTCCAGTGTCACCACTTCCAACACCCCCACCAACCTCTTCCACACAGCAGCACTCTCCTCATCATCCCCATTTGTCAACGTTCCCCTATTCCCAATCACAACCAATCCCCTCCTGGCCCTCGTAAGCGCGACATTCAACCTCCTCATATCCGTCAAGAACCCAATATCCCTCTTCTCATTACACCTCACCGTCACAAAAACAACCACGTCCGCCTCCCTCCCCTGAAAAGCATCAATACTGCTCACCTCCACCAACCCCGACCCCATAACCTGACCCAACACCCGTTTCAGCAAATCAACTTGCTTCGCATACGGCGTTAAAACCGCCACAGTCTGGCTGACCCCTTTTTCCCCATCAGCAGCAGTAGCCAAAAGCGTACAAACCCCCAAACAAACCCCCGCCTGCCCTTTATTTACTTTACTTTTCCCCTCCACCTCCTCCCGATCAGCACACTCAACCCAAACCCCCCTTTTATCCCGCATTGGCCACGAAAACCCCGTCTTTTCCAACCCCCTCTCATTGTCCCTCAATCCGGTAATCAACCTCCCTCGGTAAAACTCTGTAGAAGGGAAGTCACATAACGAGCTGTGCATCCGGTACTGCGTGTCGAGCATCAACCTCCCGAAACCCTCCCCTCTGGAAGAGGTGAACAGCCTCTCAAAAAGGGAACAATCACCCCCCAGAGTCACAACCTCCGGCCTCACGGTCGGTCTTAGTTGAACGTGATCACCCACCAAAACAGCCCTTTGACACCCCTTTACTAACGGCACGAGGGCGCACCCCTCTGTCTGCTGGGAGGCTTCGTCTATGATGACAATATCAAACATTTCATTCCTTAACAGTCCCAAACTTGAGCCTATGCAAGTCGAAAACACGATTTTGGCAGCCTTGACACGTTTTTTGGCTTTGGTGGTCTCGGCGCGGGAGTGGAGGGTGTTGAGTTCGATTCCGGCCATTGCGTCGAGGGTGTAAGGCGTGACGTCGGGGGAGACTTTACGGATTTCGGTAGAGATCCGCAAGGGGGGGTGGGTGGGGTTAAGGGAGAGGTACCGCCGGAGAACGTTATCTACCGCGTTGTGGGTTGGGGCTGTGAGGAGGATGCGGGAGTCAGGGAAGTGGGATTGGAGAGACAGGATGATGGAGAGGATGGTTTCTGTTTTGCCTGTTCCCGGGGGTCCCCAGAGGCATAAAAGGGGAGTGGTGAGGGAGGTGGAGACGGCGAGGTTCTGGGAGGGGTTGAGATGGGGGTAGGGGCTGACGCTTTCCGGGGGAGGGGGAGAAAAGGGTTGGGATTCAAGGCCGAGGAGGTAGGGGGATATGGGACAGCACTCGTCTGATTGGGTGGCAAAGAGGAGGATAGCGTCAAGGGTTGTTTTTGCGGTTGTGAAAGGGGTGCAGTAGGTGAGTTTCCATTGACAGTGGGAATAGTATGGCGGTAAGGGGTGGAAGCACTGGAATTTTGCACGGCCGGGTTCGGATTGGAGGACGAGGGCGTCGATGGAGTAACGTTTCTCGAGGAGGGAGTTTGCGGGCGCTGAGGCAGCGGTTAAACGGACGTGGGCGGCGTTGTCGAGCCGGGCATTGTCTGAGTCGATGCGGAAGCTTACCTCGACGACTTGGTAGCCGTCTTCGTCTTTGTCGAGGAGGTGTAACTTGAGGAGGTCTTTTCTTGGCTCTGACTTTTCTGAGGCCTCTCCGATGTGTTCTAGCGCTGTGGTGATCAAGTTTCGGACAAAGTGGTTGACGGCAGCTGGCCGACCGGGAAGGAGACGCGATGCTTCGGGCTCGAAACACTCGAGTAGAATATCCATTGCCACTTCTGGTATTCTGACCGTCAATGAGATCAGTCTGACAAGCTCGGCGAACTGGTGCATTGATAAGACTTTGATACGTGAGAGATATGACTTGAGGGGGGCGACAACGAGTTCTTTGGCATCGTTGGCTGAAAGAATGAACCCGGTGAGGACTTCTTGGGCGTATGCTTCCAAAATGTCTACCAGCTCTTCTGTCTTCTCGTCAACAGCCTCGATGGGCGGCATCCTGCCAAAGGCAATAGCCAGTGATGGCGCCAGGCGTAGGAAACCAAGCATCACGCGGAGAATATCCGCCGACGAGACTCTTGTCAGAGGGCTAGGTTCGTTGCTGCTAATGCCCAGCAAGAGATAATCAAAGCACTTGAAGAGAATGAGACTTTGATCCCTGTCCAGCAACCAGGAAAACAATTCCTCAAACTGCTTCGGCGACGTCAATTCCCTCATCCAAGGCAGCTTTCCATCCTTTGCAATCGCGACAGTAAAGTCCGGCTCAGAGCCCCAGTCAACATCCTTCAAGGTCGGAATGGTGTATTCTTCCGCCTCCTGGTCAAACAGCGGCAGTGTTGTATCCGTGTCGATATGCTCAAGCCACAAGTCGAGATTCCTCATTGACTTGACGTCTCTGTTGCTGATAACGTAGACCTCGGCGGCTGTCACTGCATTCCGGTTCACTCTGCCGATATGTCGCTGCAGACCCCTGCTGAACTTGTCGAGGGCGATACTGGCACGGAAGTCAACATTGGTTCCGGAGTCGATGGTCGCTTGGCGTTGTCTTCGCTTGTCGCCTTTGTTTTCTGCGGCCCTGTAGGAGCTGTCGTCCGAGGGGCTGCGGTTGATGAAGATCCAGGTGTTTCCACGCTGGCCTTCAAACAGTTGAAACTGTCTCTCGTCGCAATACAGACGGTATGTCATCTTGGTGGGAAGGGTCATACGGCTCTGCCGTTCAGTGCCCTGGGTGTGAGGAAAGGCAAATAACCGCACAGTGTCATCGACAAGGGAGTCTTGGGATGTCTCAATCTTGCGGGGAACGTAGATGGCTACGGTCAAACGTTCGTCGACTTGGAGGATGATCAGCTTGCGGTGAAATGTTTCCAGTGCTTTGCTGGTAGTATCAAGAAATGTCCCCAGACGGTCCCTCGTTGAAGAGTTGTAAATGCACTTCCAGTGGATGCTGTGATGATTGAGTTGGAAACGGCGAGCAGCATCTTCCGTAATGAGACTCGAGTAGGTCACCGCGTTTCTGACCAAGGCAGGAACTTCTTGTGAGGGTGGCATTTGCTGCAACACCCATGCCTTCTCATGGTCTGTCAAGACATTAAAGTCAAAGTAGTCCAGAAAGTCTTCCAAATGGGCATTGTTTCTGCGACACCACGTTTGAGTCATGCAAATATACTCAAACTCCGACATGGCGAGGTTATCTCGGTTGAGGAGCAGCTCCAGAACGTCATGGTCATAACCATCGAAAACATTGCGATGAATCTGAGCTGTGTCCTTGAGAATAATCTGCTTGGCGGCCTCATGTAAATCATCAAGAATAAACGGTGGCGCATCCCGGGGGGGGTCGGGTGCCTGTTCCAACTTGGGAGGAATTCTGATGATGGTCCCGTCCACACACTGAGAGAAAAGCCGGTTCAGCTCCTGACACTCTGGTGCCATGGGCCCCCGAGCACGAGCCCAGGCCAAGTAAAGCTTCTTGACTCGCCCAAGAGACATGTTGTTGTACTTGGCAAAATAAACAAGCCGGTCGTCGTCGGTGATGGCTTTGAAGCTGATCGCTTCTCTGGCACCTGGATACTTGGCGGGTTCCGACATGGTCGAGGGAATCACACTTTTATCCCAGCAGACGAAGACTGTTGTCCCTGTTAGCGTCTCTATAGCAACGTTAAGGGGGGCGACTCCACCCAAGAAAACATACAAGTATCACCATCCAAATCACCCCCAGACATCAGATCCGCCGCTGGTCTTCTGCCCCTCGAAGAAAAGACAATGCAATCCGTCAGATGCGCCAGCTCTGGTCTTTCAACCACTCTAAACTTTTGCATATCTCCCGGGTGTAAACACGGGTTCCTCGTCACCAACACCTCCATCCCTTTCAGCGCCGCCGGTTGGCCATCCTCGAAAAGGGTGACTTTGACTGCGCATTCTCCCTCCTTGAGACAATCCCAAGCATCACACACCCCAAACAGCAGCCTCGACTGCGGGATCAAGATTCGACATTTTTGATCATCTCGTTTGTTCAACATCTTGCCGTATTCTGCCTTGACGAGCGCCTTGACTTTGGATTGGGCGTGCTCAACGTTGTCTGCCATTAGGATTTTCTCCGCCATTTCAGGCATATTGGCATAAGACAAGAACCTAAACGCAGCTCGGGGGTCTCTGGTAGCTTCTTCGAGAAACTGGAAATGTTCGTTTTGCTTTTGATGAAAGGTTTTGTGTGTGATGCCAAGGGCGGAGAGAAGGAGGATGGACTCGTCGTTGAGATACCCGTAGGTGTATGGTTTGGAGTACTCGACGACAGAAAAGGAGTAATCGTCGCCACCAGAGAACTTCTTCATCGATTTGCGCAGCTTGAGCCAGATCGGAGGGGCGTCGGAGCTCTTGTTTTTTGGTCGCGGCATGGTCTGATCGACTTCCACAACGCCCTTGTAACCGCGGTAGCGTATTTGGAACACGGACGGGGTGTAGCGTCTATTGCGAAAGATGATTCGATCACGTCTTGCCAGTTCCCGCGCGAGATTAGGTGAGATGAGGCCGCAGCCGTCGGTAAAGATGTAATCGGCTGTCTCGATATCGGGGATGTCCTCGACGCGTTCGGGCGGGATGAGCATTGCTACCGATCCGGTAGAGAACAGGAGACTTATACGCTTGGCCTTTTTGGCAACTGTCTTCATTTTCGAAAAGTCGCCCAAGTCGTTGACCTTACGGGAGATCTCCTCGGGTGAACCGGCATAGAAAAAGCAAGTTCGGGATTTGAGCTGGCTGTTGCTGTGGCCGTAGAAATTGTAGTGGACACCTTGAATGGAGATGCCGGTCCTGAGGAGTCGAATAGCGTAGTCGGTACATTCTCGGGGCGTGGATGGTTGAAGCGAGTCGTCTGTGGATGTTGCTGCAGCAGAGCGGGGTGGTCGTCGTCCAGGCGGAGCACGCAGCTCGGCGATAGAGACGACGAGGAACTTGTTGAGTGGCTCGCCGCGGATAGCTCGATTGTCTTGTGCCTTGACCAGGGTGAAGTTGATTTCGTGCTTGCCACCGGTCATGACCAAGCTCACTGTTTTGATGAGTCGAGCATTGTCGAGCTTGTCGGGCCCGGGCAGGTTGGGGATGGTGTACCTCCATTCTCGATCATCTAACCTTATCCAGTCCTGGAGTTGGTGTTTGAAGCTTGCAAGTTTGCCACACATGGCAGTCGACATCCTTGGGAGGGAGATGTAGCGACAACAAGAAAAGAACTGGCGTCTACTGAAGGCAGGTCGAGGGCACAGGTGCTGGGTTTTGAGGAGGGGCAGGCCACACAAGAGCAACTAAACTGTCGGAGCTGGATCTCGCAGTTGATACGTGCCCGCACCTCCTGCAGCAGGCCTCAGTGCATATCTCACCTGACTGGCTCAAAGCGCCGATTTTCGACCATCCCTTACATCAAAGATCATCGAGACGAGTACCTACATCACTTTCAGCTACCAGCCACATCTATCTCCACGTCGTTCCAGCATCGAAAGCCTGGAAAAAGTCCATCAAGCACAGTCGACTATCTACAGTTGAATTGCGCCCTACCAAACAATGTCCCAACCACCAAACATCTACATCATCGGCGCTCAATGCACAGGCAAAACAACCCTCGTCAAAAACCTCCACGCCAATTTTGAGTCCAACTCCTCCCATGAACCGCCAGTCCTGATCACCGAAGTCGCCCGCACAGTCCTCAAGCAGCATTCCTTCACAGCAGCCGACGTCATCAACCCAGACAGAAGCATCCAGCTCCAAAGCCTGATCCTACAAGCACAAGCCTCCACCGAGAGACAAGCCACCCAAACCGGGCAATGGTTCATCTCCGACAGATCAGGAGCCGACCCAATCACCTACGCCTTGCGATATGTAGAAGAAGGACGAGCCAACCAATTGATCCAGTCGGATGAATGGCGGGAACTGAGAACAAGGATGCAGGACGCGGTTGTGGTTGTCTGTGAAGCTAGCGAAGAAGCGCGGAGCTGGCTTGCGGATGATGGGGTTAGGTTGATGCCGGAGGATGTGGATGATTGGATTGCCATGCACAGGGTGTTTTGCGAATTCTTGCAAGATCAGGAGATAAATTTCCAGGTCTTGCCTGCTTGGGTTGGGGATCATCAGGAGAGGGTTGAGTTTGTGTTGCAATGTTGGGATTGTAAGAAAGAAAGGGGTCCACGGTGGGTGGTAACTGATTTCTAATGGCGGGTTTATAGAAGGCTACCTATACACCATAGGCAGCGACAAGTCTCGCTCGCTCAGCCGCGGTACTATGGCAGTTAGTCGATGTTGGAACGGACTGATCTAGGAATGGGACACTCACATAGGAGTTACGTATCCGTGCCTGGGATTCTTTGGCAGCTTTGCGTTCTTGACGACCGTCCACTTGCCCTTGGAAATATCGTTTGTTGTGAATGGAAGGTAGCCGCCGTCACCACGCATGTAGTCGTCGATCCACAGATGCCACTGTCTCAAAGTTAGTAGAGCCCCCTCTCTGTGCTTCCTCACAGTGACTGACTGACCTTCTTCGGATCCCTGTTATCCCTAAACACCAACGGTCCCTCCCCGGCCGGCATGCCTCCATCAGCACCAATCCTTTCGCTAACCGTCTTCCACGGCCCCTCCGGACTGCCCGCCACATTCTGCTGAATCAACTCATCAGGCCCATGCTTACTAAACCAGTAGTACTTCCCCGTCTCCCCCTCCAAAGCAATAGTAGCATCCATCCCCAGCCGATTAAACTCCTCCGCCCGTGTAAACGTCTTGAAATCCTCCGTATGCGCCTTCATAAGCACAAGCTGACTATCCAACTTGCTCGTGAAATAAACCAAGAACTTGTTCTTGACCGGATCCCAAATCGCGTCCGGAGCCCAAGCCATCGCTGCTTCAGGGGGAGCCACCGTCTTGAACATCGGCCCGGTCCATCTCGCGAGATCGTTTGATTCCCAGACGTGGATAGACTTTGATCCGTTGCAGGTGTAGCAAGTCCCATTGTTCCAGCCGCGGCCCCAGACTTTGAGGTCTGTGGCGAGGAGCCAAAACTTGGACCGGTCGGGCGCGATGATGAGAGATGGGTCGCGGATGCCGCCCATGCCGAGGGAGGTGGTTAGGATGGGGTCACCTTTGTTGAGGGTGGTCCAGGTGGTTGGGTCGTTGTTGTTGCTGATGGCCATGTAGACTTGTTCGCCGTCTGGGAGGCGTTCGCCGGTGAACTGGGTGCTGTAAGCATTCTGGTTAGCTACATGGGGGAGAGGGGGGAGGGGACATAGGTGTAGAGGTAATCTGTGAAGTTGGTCGCTGGAGCTTGCCGCGCTTCAGGGCTGTGGTGCTGTAGGGCTGACAGTGGTGTGCCCTGTGCTACATGGGCAGCTGCTAGAATGATGGAGCAGATGATGTGACGCATGTTGCCCTGAAGGTGCGAGAGTTGCCACAACATTGGTTGGTGCGCTTCTGCACATCGTGTACCCAATGACCGGTTTTATACTTTGTTGATTCATCATCACGACGTCCACTTACACGGATAATTCTCCTCCGTCGGCCACTCCCGAGATCGGTGTGGTGGTCGTGAATGCGCAAGCAATTTATCGTGCAGCCGTGGCGATATCCGCGCAAATGGGAGGTCGGGAGTGGGCCGCGCACACCGGCAATCTTTTTTGCACCGCTCAAATTGTACGAGGAGTTTGTAGGCTAATATACACATCTGTTGTCGGAATAAGGGGGTAACGCATGGAAAAGAGCCGCAGAAGATGTCCATGTTGCCAAGGCTTTCAGCTGGGGATGGTCAGCCGCTGAAGCTGTTTGCTGTGAGCTCAGTTTGTCATCAGATTCCTGGATAGGCGTTAATTCACTTGAGAGTCCGAAGGAGAGCGTCCGAAGAAGAGCGTCCGACACGAAGAGGAGATAAATCACTTGTAACGTATATTATAAGCGAGTAACCCATATAGGCGAGTGACCCACTTCCCACCACACCGTAACAAACTATCCTCAATTATACCGCAACAACACTAGGAAGTAACTATAATTATATTAGAAACGGCTGAATCAGATGATTCCCTAGCCTCCTGGCAAGTGCGCGCGTTATGGCCAGGCTTGCCGCACATACTATAGCACCGAACCCTCGCACGATCTCCCCCTGCATTACTATTATCCGGCTACGTTTCTTACACTCCCTTCCCATCCACGGCCTTCTGATCCAGTAGATTCTGTGCCTCTTATATAGTAAGTGACCCTCTAAGCCTTACACGTGTTTTTTTAGTTTTCCGGCGTTTGCTTAGTATTTTATTAGCTTTATAGAGTAAAGAGACCTCTATACGAAGGAGAGTTACCTAGTATATTATAGCCGTTATACCTTTAGTAAGTTAGTTTACTCTAATTAATATTAAAATTAGGAAACTATTTTAATAATTAATAATACGAGTTTTAATAAAGGTTAATTATAAATTAATTTCTCGAAAGTTATATAATATTTAAAAAAGTTAAGGTTATATAGTACCGTGCCGTAAGTTTATAGGTATTAACGTACGAAGTTTTATATTTAGTTAAAAAAGTATTTTTACTAAATCGTACGGTATAAGGCTAGTACTTATAAAGCTACTTTATATTTTTTTTTCTATTATAAAAGTAAAGAAAGCTTTACGAAAGGTATAATGTATATTATAAGCGAGTCGTACAAATAAGCGAGTCGTACAGTCTCCACCACGACGCGTCCTCCTTACACCTAACATTAAATTTTTTCCACAACCCAACATGCCTCTTACCTTAAAGGAAGCTAGGATACTTTTAGCCCTTGAGGCTCTCTAAAAGGACGAAAAATTAAGCCTTCGAGCTATAACTAAGCTTTATAACGTACCACTTATAACTCTCTCTAACCGACGCGCCGGCCGGCCTACACGACGCGATACTACGCTCAGATCAAAAAAACTTATATAATCCAAAGAGGAGGCTATTATTTACTATATTATTAAGCTATTTACGCGAGCTTTTCTATTAAAGTTACGTAGTATAAAAGATATAGTTAACTAACTATTATACGTACGTAACGCGCCCTCTATTAATAAACTTTAAATATATAATTTCGTTAAACGTTAATTATAGTTCTATACGCGTTTTACGCGTAAATATAATTACTAGAGAGCTAAGTGCGAGGATCCGAAAGTTATTATTAAATAATTTACGTTTATATAGAATATTAAAATTAAATATAGTATTATAAATAACGATATTTATAATTTTAACGAAACTAAATTTATAATAAATATTATTTTTATAAATATAATAATTATAATTTCGGACGGTTTTAATAAAGTAAAACTAACCTAGCTTAATAACCGTAAGTAAGTAACAGTAATTTAAGGAATTAATATTTTTAATTAAGCTATCCCGCCTTTTATTATTTTAACTATATAATATTATTTTACTAATTAATATACTTATTAATGTGTGGGTACTACTAAGTGCTTTACTTGCTGCTTTATAGATTAATATTATAGTGGGCAGTACTACTATAAGCAGTAATGGAATTTCCCGGCTTGGATTCCTTTAGAATATTTTTTATAAGGGACTTTTAAAGGCTTATAGGGCTATTGTAGCCTGAGGCTTAGTTAATAGATACTAGAACCTTTTAAAGTAGCTATAGGCTTACGTAGTAAGTTGCTACAATAATGTGATTTACAGGGCACCTTTGCTACTAAAGGTTCTATAGATTTCCGTGAGTCTACACTAGACCCACCTAAGCCCACTAAATACCCAAAGTGGTATAGGGGCTTCCAGGGCCTACAGGACCCACAGTAGGCCTACGAAGGCTTATATATAGACCTCTCCTCTCTCCTGTAAAATAGTTCTTTTTCTTTCTTAAAGGGCAAAACCTTAAGGCTAAAGCTAAAGGCTAAGGCCAAAAGTAATAAAAGCAATTCTTATTCTTTATACCTCACTGTATTACAGTGCTTTACCTTCCTTCGGCACTGCCGTCGTATCCTCCCGCTTCCGCTTGCGCACTGCTGTATTTTATAGTAACCCTATATAAATTCTATATTATAGGCCTATTAGGGCTTACCAGCTAATAATACTAAATATAATTTATTATTTATTTAATGTATTATAATTATTAATAATAATTAAATTATTAATTTAATAAACTTAAATTAAATTAAATACTTTAATTATTATATAGCGTTTCGTACGAAAAATAAATACCGGTTATTAATCCTCGATAATTATAAAAGCTATTATTTAATTAAATTCGAATATTATTATTAGTAAAATAATATTATTATACTTTATATATCTTTACACTCCTCCCACTTCTTTTAGTTACTTAATATTAATTACTTTAGGCCGTTAAAATAAATATACGGCCGCAAAATCGAGAGTTTAATATATATATATATTAATTATATAAGTAAGCTCGAATTTCTTTATACTTTCTATAAAGCTTTTTTCGTTTTTATAATAAAAAAAAATATATAAAGTAGCTTTATAAGTACTAGCCTTATACTATACGATTTAAAGAAAGTACTTTCTAAATTAAATATAAAGTTTCGTACGTTAATACCCTTATCTTTAAAGCCGGGTATAGTACTCCCTTAAGTATTTTAAATACTATAAAACCTCTAAAAAGCTAACTTATATTTAACGCTTATTAAAACTTATATTATTAATTATTAAAATAGCTTTCCGACTTTAATATTAAATACTATAAATTAATTTATTAAAAGTATAATAATTATAATATACTAAATAGCCCTCTTATAGGCAAAAGTCCTTTCGCTCCGTAAAGCCAATAAGGTACTAAGTAAGCGCCGGAAAACTAAAAAAACACGTATACAGCTCGGAGGATCACTTATTATGTAGGATGCACAGGATTTACTAAACTAAAAGGCCGTAGGTGGGGAGGTAGTAAAAGAAATATAGCTAGATAGCGGTACTGTAGGGGGGGCTCGTACGACGGTTCGGTACTGTGGTGTGTGCGGCAAGCCTGGCCATAACGCACGTACTTGCTAGGAGGCTGGGGAATCATCTAATTCAGCCGTTTCTAATATAATTATAGTTACTTCCTAATATTATTGCGGTATAATTGAAGATAGTTATTGTAGGGTGGTAAAGACTATACAACTCGCTTATATATACGACTCGCTTATAATATACGTTAAAGGAATTCGAACTTATTTATATAGTTATTATATATATATATTAAGTCTTTAATTTAGTAACCGTATATTTATTTTAGCGGCTTAAAGTAACTAATATCGAGTAGTTAAAGAAAATAAGAAGAATATAGAGGTATATAAATATCACAACCCTAGTATATAAACGAGAATAACGATTGGTTATAGAATTACGGGAGTAAGGACTAATTGGGGAAACACCTAAGAGAGCTAATCACAGTAGGGAACGGCTAATTAGTGTGCGCGGAGTACCGAGTAGGCCGGAACGGGGTAATTAGTGTAATTAAGGCACTAATCAGGCTAACCAAGAACAATTAGTATAGTTAAGGCACTGATCAGAAGAATTACGGCTAGGAAGAGGAGTCTATATATACGGAGGAACTGGTTAGTGTAGATAGATAGTTCCGCAATATGCAATTTACAGCTTATATTTACGGTATTTTGTATTTACATTAAAACATTTTATTGTGCACTATTTAGCTGCACCGGACTAGGATTATTCAGAAGAGCCTTTAACCGGTATCCTTTTTAGAGGTTCTGGATAGGGGTTTATCACAATAAAGTATAATAATATTATTTTATTGATAATAATATTTAAATTCGCTTAAGTTATAACTTTTATAGCCGTCGAGGATTAATAACCGGTACTTACTTATTATACAAAACGCTATATAATAATAAAAGTATTTAATTTAAATAAAGTTTATTATATTATAAATTAAATTACTATTAATAATTAAATTATTATTAATAATAATAATATATTAAATAAATAATAAGTTATACTCGGTATATTAATTAATAAAATAGTATTACGCGAGTAAAATAATAAAGGATAATATAGCTTAACTAAAGGTATTAATTTCTTAAATTACCGTTACTTATTTACGGTTATTAAGCCTAGCTAATTTCGCTTTACTAAAGCCGTCCGAAGACGTAACTACTATACCCGTAAAAATAATATTTATTATAAACCCAGTCTTATCGAAATTATAAATATCGTTATTTAT